TGTGCCAACCAGTTCATGTTTTCTCTGCACTATGCAATTCCTTTTTTTTTTTTTTTAATGTATTTTAGAACAGGTTATACACAGTCTCACTACACACATCAGACTTGTAGTAATCTGTTTTCAGCCTCTCAAGTGCTGGGATTACAGGCCTCTGCAATTCCTTTTGAAGTGAATCCTATTACAGTTCACTGTACATCTCAAAAAGGACTAAAAACATGAATTACACTTCCTAACTTGAAAACAAATGCCGACAGTGTCCAAAACACAGTAACTTCCAACAATTGGCCTGTGTCTTCTTTGCCAGTACAGTAAGTCAAACTTCTATTTTCACTACCAAATACATAAATGAAGAACTATAAAGAACTTTAGTGACCATTCATTCACTCAACCATCAAGAAATCATAAGAAATTTTTATTCCACATTATACCACAGCTAAAATTCAGGCCCAAATGTGTTTTCAATTATATTGTGTTCCCAAAAATCCATTTTTAGGTGAGGTCTTTGGAGTGAATATTCAATAGATTCCAGTCCTTATAAATGGACTAAATTTGGACAAATACATACACAGGTAAAAAGCCATGTGAAGACGAAGCAGTTTGGGACAATGTTTCTACATGGCTTAGAGCCTCCAACAGTCAGGAAATGAACAGAAACATTTTTCCTCGTAGTCCACAGAAGCAACCAAACCTGCTACTTTCTCTCAGACTTCAAACATCCAGTTACTCATCCAGTATTTTTCCCTCCAGTCCTGGAACAGTAATGCTTTAGCTTTTAACATCACTGGTCACCTTACTCTTTTCTCACTCAAAATGGGTAAGTCTGCAGCACTCAGAGGGCTAAGAAAACCTTTAGAAAACCTCTCAAAAGCAAGCCATTAAAAAAAAAAAAAAAAAAAAATTGGCTGAAGATTAGAAAAGGTTCAAGTCAGTGGGGTGATAAAATGTGCATTTACATACATGTTTGGATTATGCTACACTTATAAAGAACACACCTAAGTCAAAGCAAAGAAAAATGAGGACCAGAATTTAGATTTTAATGGTTTTATTTTCTGTAAAAAGTGCATTTCTTTCAAAAAAAAATTGCAATAATCAGTCTTCATGAGCAATTCTTAACAGTCAACTCTCAATTCATAACAGGTTTTACTGTGCATCAGATTCTCAACATTCAAAATGAACCAGAAATAACAATTTTTTAAAAAAGTGTAGCTCTACCTGCTACACTGTGCAAGTATTACATAATCAAATAAAACTGCACTTTATATACCACTTAGTGCAGTAAATAACAGGTGTTTTTAGTTTCAACTTAATTTTGAAAGTGTTATCAAATATTCTGAATGACTAAGCTCTCTCCAAGACTGTCAAGTGATGCCAACGAAAAATGTTATAGGGTTATTAAATGACTGGCTTGGCTCTTAAGTCTTTTTCTAAGTGCATGTCAGGTAGGGCTATCCAGAGGAGGTAGAGTTAAATAGGTCAAAAACAACTGGTAATTCACCAACATAGAAATCAAACTCTTATATTCTAATTTCCTTCACAGGTGTAACATATATTAGTGCCACATTCTTCTTCCTCAGACCAAAGTCCCTTATTTTCATGGAAAACAGCTACTTCCAGAGTTTAGGATTAAAAAGGTAGAGTCCTAGTAGCTCTTGGTATGGCTATTTGAGCAATAGAAAAAGACAAATGAAATCACAGCAATCCACTTTAAATAAAATGTAAGTAACAGAAAAGGAATTCAGAATACAGTCAAGACTGCAAATAAGCAAATGAGCTACATGCCAAAGGTACATGAAACTATATTTCATAATAAGAACTGACAAATTTGAAAAGGGCCAAATATTTTATTAACTGTTGGATATACATCTGTGCCAGACTACTTAACTCTGCCACAGTAGCAGGGAAGCAGCTAACAAACAGTATGTGAGTGTGACTTTCCAAAAGAACTTTATTTCTAGACAATAAAGTTGGTTTTCAGATATTTTCATCCTTTTCAAAATAGTCTTTCAACTTTTTCCAATCATACAAAAAAATATAAAAGCCCATTTTAGCTCACTGGCAATACAAAAACAGGTTAAAAGGTACAGCTGCCTAGTCCCTATATAAAAACTTAGTAAGAATGCCACCATTCAATGTCTGTATTCAAAAACTGGTCCATCTTATATTATAAAGTTTTCATCCTATAAAAATAAAATGCAGTACATACCCTTTAGTTATTCAATTATGTATAAAAATAATTACACTATATTCCATTTTCAGTTCCCTAACACTATTTTCAAGGTAAATTTCCTACTAACATGGTTTTTATCCACTTAAAACTGCCTTCTGGGGGCCGGGGAGATGGCTCAGTGGAATAAGTGCTTCCCTGGCAAGCACAAGGGCCTGAGTTCAATCCCCGGTTCCAGAAAAAAAAAAAAAAAAAAAAACTGCCTTCTGTTAGGAATTAATTTCTCACTGGTGTGTGTGTGGGGGGACTAAATTATTTTTATAAAAGCTACCCAAGGGGTTTATGAGCATCAATTATGATACTGCTTGGTACAGAATAGCTCTTCAGATATGGTTAACAGCTATTTTCAGTATATAGGATTCCTTGTTCCTACATCAGAAAGCCTAATTTCATCATTAAAATTCTGGCTCAGTGTTCCTTTTCCTTCCTCTTCACTTTATCCCTGTAGTGTATTAACAGTCAGTACATGTGCTTGCTGTTTAAACAGTTTAGCTTAATCCACAATTATAACTCAGAAAATAAAAAATTCCATAGGGTTTTTCTTCCTATTGACATGAACAACTAGTCTTCAGTTTTATAGTCTTACTAAAGAGTAGGGGTTACAGCTTCGCATTTCATCTTTGTATTTAACGAACAACTTTTTAACTGTTCTTTGGAGAACAAATTTTTCTTTTAGTATATAAAGATGGTTAAGACCATACTGTAAAATTTAATATGTATTATAAGAAATGAGGGAACTCTCATAATTAATACTATACAGATCTTCAAATTTGAAAGGCAGAGCTTTAAATCTCGCATACAGTAAACATCCATTACTGGGTCACAAGAAACCAATAGCAAATTTAGACAGGGTCCCAATAAATGTCTATGTTGACCTTGAACTGAATTTTGTCTCAGCTTCCAAAGTGTTAGCATTACAGGTATGAGTTATACCTCACTTTAACAAAAAATCTTGATAAATTCAAAATCCTATCACATGACTTTTTCAAAACTTCTGAAGTCTCCTAAATTAAAGTAGCTCTTACAAAGTGGTTAGCCACATAAAGGAAAACTGACATCCAAGCTCAATCTCAAGAAAAGCTCACTTTAGAGAATCAAATTACATAACTGTATCTTTCAAACACTTTATAATGAAACAAGCTCTTCACAAAGTAATATAGCAAGTTACCAGAAATCCTCAGTAATATGATAAAGAATTTCTATCAGGTGAGACTTTATTACAGTACTACCCCATTTATCAAGGTCTATTAATGAAATGACAGCAAAATTTAGACATATTTCTGATTACTTAAAAACTTTACTAACAACAAAAAATGAGGAAAAAAAGACCACGATACACATATACTCATGAGAAAATGCTGTCTAATGCATTAATAAGGTTCTTTTTAAAATGAGACTTAAGGGCACCTATTTTTTTAAATCTATACTTTTAGGGGTATCAAGAGACACAATTTTGTCCTTTAAAATAAGTTGTGAACATTAAAGTGAAGGATTCAAAATTAATCTGCATTCTCAATTTATTAACATCAGCAGCTCATTAAATTAGAGCTTTAAAGTTTTTAATGTATTTGATACAGGGTATCACTACACAGCTTGGACTTGTAGTGATCCTCCCATTTTTCAGCCTCCCCAGTGCTAGCATTACAGGCATGCACCACCATGCCTGGACTCCATGGCCAGTTCTGTGCATCCAAGGGTGGGGCCAGCACAGCATGTGTTGCTGGGGATCAAACCCCAGTCCCTGTGCTTGCCTAAGCAGGTGCTTAGTCTGCTGAACTATCTCACTGGCCCAAGCTTTAAACTTTTGTAATAATCTTAAGGACTTAAATCTGCTTGGGTTAGGAGAACCTACAGAAGAGTTTGGAGCTTTTTAAAATTATTTACTACAAGTACAATTAATGAACATCAGTACTTGTAGATGCCCTGGGAGTCTGTTAGAAACACGGGCTCTCAGATCTCAACTGAGATCTATTTAATCACAATCCACAATTTTACCTGTGCCCTACAAGTTTGAAAAGCACTGTTAAATATGGAAAGTTCAGCCTAGTACATATGTGTGCATATATATTCTTAATGTATGAAACACAAAGGTTTTCAAGTAGTAAATGGATATGGGTTTAATAATACAGCCTCCTCTATCTATGAAATCTCTTAAATCTCAACCAACTAACTTTTAAAATAGCAATTTTTAGAGAATTTTCATTCTTTTAAAAACCTCACTTAAGGGCCGGCCAGATAGCTCAGCAGATTAAACCGCCTGCTTAGGCAGATGCAGGGATGGAAGTTTTGACCCTGGCCTGCCATACTGGCCATGGCCATGGCCCTGGCCCCACTGCATCCTCTGCCCCTGCACCCTTCTCCCCACCCCCACCACAGAGATAACAACTGAGACTGGGCGTGGTGACGCGGGCTTGTAATCCCAGTGCTTGGGAGCCTGAAAACAGAAGAATCACTGTAAGTCCAATCTATGTAGTGAGACCCTATAGACCCTGCACTAAATAAAATAAAACCCCACTTAGATACAGAGCTTTATTTTTCTTCCAATTTTACTTCCTGTTCTGGCAATTAATGATATTTCTATTATCCTGAAATAGCTAACAGAATCCTTACCTTCAAACTCTACAGAAAAAGAAAACCATGGGAAATGTCAGCAAACAAACATGCTTTTAAGTTCAAACTTCAATTCTATATTTGATTATATTATCCCTAAAAGGATTTATCTGACTCTATCTCTAATATTTGGAATTAAAAGTAAAGCTCTAATAGTTTTAAAACTTGTTGAACTAGCTAAATGTACCTTTAAATGATGGACTCCAATACAGAACATTTAAATCCACTGAAATTAATCCAATAGATTTCACAGGTATTTACTGCATACCATTACATCCTTCAAGATGAATAATTATCAAGAAACCAGATCTGACTGTTGTTAATGGTATCTGCCATATTTTATTAATGATCAGAAAAGATCTGAAAAAAATTTCTATCAGTAAAACAATACACTAGAGCCTACCAAAATATTAATGCTTTTGTTACGTCAGGGAGAAATTTGCAGAAAAATTTAAGGCAAGAATACTGAAGTAAGGCGATTCATATATATGCTTACAACCACAGCAACCAAAAATATTTAACAAACTGACATTTGGTCTCAAATGGTATTTTTAAATACATCTTCACTGAAACACATACATGGTAATCATTTAAGTCACACTGTCTGCTGTTCTATCCAGTTTTTCAAGAACTTCATCCCACCAGCACATGACAATTCATACAAATCTTATGGCATGTGATGAAACAAATTGATTACTTTGAACTATTTCTGCATAAGAATATGCAGTTATCTCCTCTCCAAAGACAGCCTTTTTTATTCATCCCTATTTCACTATAAGCTCATGTGCTTATTCAATATTAAATATGATGGACAAAACGCAGTATATAGGAGACTACGGCAGGACAATCACTGAAGTTCAAGGCCAACAAGGGGAGTTCAAGACCAACCTGAACTACAACAGTGAGCTCCTGTTTCAAAAAGAGTGGATTTTGTTAAAGGTCCTAAGACTAATATTAAAAGATTACCATGGGGCCGGGGAGATAGCTCAGTGGAATAAGCACTTGACCTGGCAAGCGCAAGGACCTGAGTTCAATCCCTGGTTCCACAAAAAAGATGACCAAAAAATTATTATACATTTGGACACTGTAAACCACAACTATGATTCCATTTTGTAAAATTTGAGTTTTCAAATTTTTTTAATTATGCTACAATTCATAGTTCAACCCCAGAATTTAAAAAACTATCATTGTACATATATCACACACACGTGATATATATATATACATGTACATGTGAAACAAAAATATTTGTATTTTTGATTTTCATAAAAAAAGCTATCAATTTTTATAGGGGTTGGAGGTCCCTAGTGAAAGGGAGATCTTAACGTAGACAAAATGTTAAACTTTCAATGACTTGATGTACTTCTATGACTTGACATAGAAGTATGCTTTCTAAGTAGGAGTTCACTATAAAACAAGCTAATTCACTGATCATATCAGAGAACAAATGAAATAAATTTAATTTAAAAGAAAAAAACCCACAAAAATAAATGGGACAAGGTGGCACACACCTGTATCAGGGCACTCAGGAGAGACTGAGGCTTGAGGATGTCCAATTCAAGATCAGCCTGCGCTACACAGCAAGTCCCTGTCTGACACACAAAGACGTAACATAGATGGGAAGTCAGGCACTAATACTACTTGGTGCAATTTACAAATGTTTTAATTATACACTACTATTAAACTTGGCAAAACATACATACATATATATATATAAAAAGAACAGTTTCAAACTTCTTCCAAGTTTGCTTTTAGGTACAGGTGGACAAAGCAGGTTATCTCTAGACTTCTTATAGTCCAACTTGCAATGAATATATATTCAGACTAAACTCTTCATTAAGAAGAAACGTTAATGAGATATACTTTCTAGTGGTTGGTATCCTCTTCCAAACCAAAAGAAAAAGGGGTGGGCCTTGCATGAATAGCAAAATTTCTCGTTTCATTTAATTTTACTTTCTGGATACTTTAAAAAATAAAGTCATGTTTAACTGAGATTATTAACTAAGTATAAAACTATGTGTTGTTTTATTTGTAGATACAGAATACCCAAGTATTTGCAGCAAGCCCATGAAGTATTTCTACTGCCTATATTGGTATTTCAGTATTAAAATATATACACGTTTTAATTAAACAAAACCAACATATTCACAAGCTGAACAAAAATTCATGCAATCAACGAAGGCTGAAATTTATAAATTAAATGCCATCTATACACAATGTACAAACAGTCATGCATTTAGAAATGAATACTGTATGTTTCAAAACAGTACATTTTCACAAGCAAAAGCTGCTGCACAAATATTTGGTAATGAAAAGGAAATGGAATTTAGCACATTCTGCACTGATATTTTCACCAAAGAAACTGAAAATTAGTATTTAAAATTTTTCTCTGAAGTTGTCCAAAGGTGACATCTATGGGGGAAAGGGGGCTTTGTCCCCAGTTTTGTATCTCATTTAAAGTATTTTACTGGGAACCTATTTCCCAAACCTCTGGTAAAACAATAAAAATAATAAAACATAACCCAAATATGAACATGTTTATCAGTTAAGGAAAATTAAAATAAAAGTTTTTTTGCATTATGCACTTCACCAAAATAAGAGTTGAAAACGAGGAATAAAATGTATGCTTGTTTCTACTTTTGCTTTCAATTGCAGTGAATATTTAATTTCATGAAAACTGCATAGAAATCCAGAAAAGAGGAAAAAAAGATAACTAATGAAATTAAAAACTACTTACACAACAGAATCATCGCCCTTCACAGTGTTAAAGGTTATTAACTTTGCAAACAGTTTCCTCTCAAATTATACAATATGTCAGAACATGTTTTATCAAGAAATTCAGGGATGTTTTAAAATCTTCAATTTTCTCTTACAATACTAACTAGAATTTTCATGGGCTGGTGATCTCCAACGTGCCTGCAGATTTTTTATGATAGAGTTCGCCATAGTACCAAGTTTCTCGTGCATTTCAAACAGCTGACTTCCTGAGTAGCTATGGAGATCTTCTGAATCCAACTGAAGAGCAAGAGCTCTAATTTGTGCCACAAGATTTTTAGATAATGGAGTTTCTAAAGCAACAGGATCAATCAAATCTAAAAGAGAAAAAGGATATAGAACTATTTAAATAAAAAGTTAACATGCACGTATCTCTTATCAAATTAAGAAAAAGTTTAAGTGCCTAGGGCTTAAGTACCAGAAACTGAACTCAGGACCCTGTGGTTGTCAGCCAGGTGCTGCACCACTGTACATCCCAAGCTAAGTGCCTAGGCTTACACTAAGAAAGCAGGCTGGGATATAACTGTTTCTCAAGAAAACAAGATGACAGGGAGAAAAAAAGAAAAAGCAAATTCAGAGCTCAGAGTTCCTGCTTGTAAAGAAATGCCTTTTTTATTAGCATAACTGGAACAAAATGTGTAGTCTAGATTTACTAGAGACCATAAAGAGCTGGAACTTGACAAGCAGAGAAAACCAACTAAGTTATTTTTCATATTAAGCACCAAAAAAATACTAAATTCATATAGCATGGCCAAATTAAAAGCGTAACAAATTATTTTTAAGTTAGCTGATCTTCTAAGTGAAATTATCTTATTTTAATAAATTATACCTGAAGCAAGTCTTTCTTCATCAGCTGACTTATTTTCTACTTCATTTAGTGTTTTCTCAGAAATATCAAAAACTGGGATTTCTTCAAGTCCATGAGATTTCATCTTGATTATACATTTACAACAGTGAAAAAACAAAAACACAAAAGAACAAGTCAAAATTTTTCTTTTCTTTTGTAGAACTGGTGGTTAAATTCAGGACCTCTGCACCAAGCTACACATCAGTCTCTTTTCAGATTCTGGCTAGGTAGCTAAACTGTCTAGGCTTGAACTTACCCTCTTACTTCACCTTCCTAAGTAATTATAGATATGTGCCATTATATACATATTTAATATTAGTCACTGTACAAATGTTAGAAAAGCATGTAATATATAGAACATATGTTGTTACATACTAACATATTAACTCAGTTAATATAACATTGCTGAGAACAGTAAAAAATACAAAAACAGTTGAGCATGGTGGTACATGACTATAACCCCAAGCACTGGGGATCTGGAAGTAAGACGAGTACTCTTGAGTTTCAGGCCAGCCTCAACTAAACGTGTGAGAGAGCATGTCTCATAAATGAACGAACGAATGAATGAACAAATGAATACGAATGCAGCATACTTCATAATGGATTTAAATTAGTTCATGTGATTGGTGGTATAAATCTGTGAGTACACTAAATGATTTAAATGTACACTGTGGATTTTTGCTCATACAATCACACACACACACACACGTGCACGTGATTTTCCAGTGCCTATGTGTGTTAAGTGAGAGAACATTTGAGAAACTCAATCTATGCCTCTATGCCTGATATAGTCTCTAGGCATCTCTTTTTCTCAATGGTGCTGTGAACTGAATTTAGGGCTTTACAAATGAACTACATTCATTCCTAGCTCTTATTTTGAGATGGGGATCTTGCTTTCTCAGGTTGGGCCTGAACATGTGATTCTCTGAGCCTTAGCCTCCTAGAATGCTGAGATTATAGAAATGTGCAAGTAGGACTTTTTTTCCCCCCAATACGGGGATTGAACTCAGGACCCTGCGGCTGCCAGGCAGGCACTTATTTTACTGAGTTATCTCCCCAACCCAAGACTAGCTTTTTTTGTGTAAAGTTATAGTTCAACAAAGGTTTCTGAGTATGATGATACAAATCAATGATGTTCAAGAATACAAAATTGTTTAGTACCTGGTGAATGCCATTTTAAGGAAATCTAACACACAACACTGTTTTTCATTCTTAACATACTCATTTTTTTTCATTTCACAAATTCTAACAGTACCAATGGATGTATCTCTCAATGGGTTTCAGGAGTCTGTAAATTGGAAACCTATATATAAAATCTACATACATTTTCATGTGGATAAGAATCTTAGCTTTCATTAGAATCTTGAAAATAAACCACAACTCAAATGCTTATAAGCAAAATGTTGACAGAGATAAAAGCACTTAAGTCCAAACATTCAAGACATCGAAATCAGAACACTAACAGAGGGGCTAGAGAGATGGCTCAGTGGAATAAGCGCCTACCTGGCAAGCGCAAGGGTCTGAGTTCAATCCCCGGTTCCATCAATCAATCAATCAATCAATCAATCAATCAAACAAATAAACAAACAAACACTAATGGTACATGGTGGTACATCTCTGCACTTTGGGAGGCTGTGGTAAGTGACAGAACATCTGATCCAGCCTGGGAAACTTAATGAGACCATGTCTTGCAAGAAAAAGTTCAACAAAAAAAAAAGGGTTGGTGATAGAAAGGCCCACCAGGGCCCTATACCCCTGCATCAAAATAACGTGACTTAGAACATCTGTAATGGTTTTTTAAATGTGTGGGTTTGAACACTTAGGTTTTTGGAAGAGCAGTCATTTCATGATGGAAATGAAGAGGGGGCAGGAAAGAATAAAAGAAAATTTAAAAATAAAGCCAAGGAGGTCTGGGGAGATGGCTCAGTGGAATAAGCATTTCCCTGGCGAGTGCAAGGGCAAGAGCCTGAGTTCAATCCCCAGTCCCACCAAAATAAATAAATATAAATAGATCCAAGGAATATACAAACAGTACAAACAAAAGAGTAAACCTTATGAAAATAAACAGTGCTTCTGATGGGAAGGGAAGGATCAAAAATGTGTCATCCTATGACAGTTTAAATACAAACCTCTTAACTGTATTGTTAGATCAATTATTAAAACATAACTTTGTAAGTACCATCTAAGTTTTTACCTGCTGTTCATGATATATCCTGAGAGCTTTTTTTACATTAGACACTTTTGGAGAACGAATAGGAAGAGTTTTTATTTCTGAAGCTGTAAGAGTACTCAAATCGCCGATAGTTTTTATGTTCTTGGCTCTGATAAGTTGTCCTAGACCTCTTGCCCTGAAAAGTAATAAAGAAAAAAGTAAAAATCTATCTAGGTTTTTATATTTTTCATGGCTTGTACAGATGATTTCTCCATTTAAATATAATTAAACGTAGTGCTTAACTGTAATCCAGGCACTCAGACTGCTAAGACAAAAGGTTCACAGTAGGTTGTAGGGCAGCATGGCCAACACAGTGGACTCAAAGTCAGTCCGGACTACAAGAGATGTTTCTCAAAACAACAATAAAAATGATATTCATAACTGCATTCATTATACAGCACACAGTGAGGAAGGCATATTGTCTAATTTAAAATCAAATTTGGATTTGATAGCAACATCTGGCTTAAGCAATTATACTGGCAAAAAAATCCCACTGCATGCCTCACATTTTATATACTTTTTAGTCTTTCTTTGGAGACACATTCTTGCTATGTACAGTCCAAGCTGGCCTTGAACACACTATGTAGCCCTGCTGGCACCACACTTGTGGCAATCTTCCTGTCTCAGCCTCTCAAGTGCTAGATACAGCGCCACATCCATCACTACTTGTAATACAAATGAATTTTAAGATTGCCTTAAGTATAAATAAATACACTTAAATGTTACCTTATACACAGATGGGTAGAATTGCAATACTCAGTTTATCGGTGGTTGGGGCATGTTACTGTTTTACTAAGTCTACTAATCAGGACCCTTTTAATGTACCATGCCCCTGGCTTCTATGCATCAGAAATGGAATTAAAGATGTTACAAAATACACTGAAGAACAGCTCGTATCCTAGTGAAGTGATAGGGCACCATGATAGGGCAAACAATTCAATTAAAGAAAAGTTATCTTGAAGTTTCTGGAATTACCTATAACAATTCTTTTAACCAAGATATGGTAATTCAAAATTTGTTATGCCATAGGCATTTAACTTGCTTATTCTAAAATAAGCCATCTCCCTGACTCCATCAAACTTTTAGTTAAAAATAGTAATTTTTAAAATCTCACAAGGTGGGCTGGGGAGATGGCTCAGTAGAGTAAGTGATAGCCTGGCAAGCACAAAGGCCTGAGTTCAATGCCCAGTTCTGCAACAACAACAAAAAACTCACAAGGTTTTGTTTTAAAGGTTACTCCAAGTGAACTTCATGCTTAACAAGCAACACTGTTAAGATCTATAGCTGTGAGATTAACTATATTAACTGTGAGATTTAGGGCCAGCCAGATAGCTCAGCAAAGTGCCTGCTCAGGTAGGTGCTGGGACCATGGTTCGATCCCTGGCGTGGTGTGCCAGCTCCGCCCCTGGGGTGTGCTGAGACTGGGTGTGGTGGTGTGTGCCTGTAATCCCAGTGCTTGGGAGGCTGAAAATAGGAGCATCACTATGAGTTCAATCTGTATAGGGAGACCCTGTAAATACATAAAAGAACAGACTGAGATTTTAGCAAATTTCAAATTTTCATTTGAGAAATTAAAAATGATATTCATATTCCTAAAGGGTCTGGATTAGGATTAAACAATGTTTCAAACAATATTAAAAAATATTTACTGAATTAGGACAAAAACTTCTAATGCTGCCATGGCCCGCGTTTCAAGCTATAGTTTTATTTCTAAAGTAACATACATGCAGGAAAGTACAAGTGAATCAACTCAAAATGACTTTGATCAATCATAAATGACATCTTGAAATACAAGCCAGAAGCCAAACTAACCACTTACCACATGTTTGATGTAATCTGAGGTAAAATGATGTCAACTGGTGCTGCACAACTCATCAAAGCTGGATAAACACTTTCTGTGGGGCATGGCATGGATTCTTTCACCATTTCTGTAATCTTAGAATAAATTTCAAAAGCTGTTAAGTAAGAGGTCACCTGACTAAACAAAAATATAAAGATTCATGAAAACTAAAGCACTTCTTACTAAACACTTCTTTGAGGTCTTAAATTTACAGTTACGTGATCCTGGGGACAGAAATCCTTTGGCTGAAGTGGTATTATGCTAGACAGAAAGGAAGAGAAAAGAAACTCAGAACCCTGGAGAACTGTAATTATAAATTTGATTTTTACAACTTACTCTTTTTTTTTAACTTCAGAAGAAATACAACAATGAACTACCTAAGCAATTACTGGCTAAATCATCCCTTTCTCTTATCATCTCCTTCATATGTACTTACCAAGAGACAAAAAAAACAGAGCTAAACAGTTTTATTTCTTTAACAGGTCTATTTCTTTAATAGCTAAACTTAAGGTAAATTATGCACACATAATTCTACGTGTGTGGGAAGCTTATACTTACCTTAGTTTGTGAAGTAGGTGAAGTTTTAACACTTTTTATTATAGGAGAACTATTTGAAGAATGAGACTTAACAAGAGGGCACCGCCTATCAATGTCATCGGCCAATCCTGCTTGGTATATTGGATCTGCAAAGGAGACTCGGCGGACCTAAAAACAGATAGGTTTTTAATTTTTAATTAATTATTGGTACTGGGAAATGAACTCAGTACCTTGTGCTTACCAGGCAAGCACTGCTCCATGGAGCTGTATCCCCAGCCAGGTTTTTATAATTTTACAAAATTTTAAACACCAGAAATTCTATGAGGTTACCCAAAAGTAGAATGTAGATTTAGAAGTTTAATTTCTTTCACTAAAAGCCAACTGTACATAGTACATAGTTGCTCACCCAATAACTGTTTTCAGATTATTCAATACCACAGTTCACTCTACCCATATTCTAAACTATTTTGTACAGTTCAAATTATGAAACAGGAACTGCTGCAGACTTATAACGGAAGCAAAGCCATATGTCAATTAAAACTACAAAAACAGAGGTAAAAAAACAACTGCCTTCTGGAACATCTTGATCATATGTGTTCTAAACTCTTGTACGATCAGTGTCATGGCAATTAAGCAGCAACTTTTTACCTTTCTTAGCCCCACTTGTAGTTGATATGGCCTTCTATATGTTTACCTATAACATTCAATATGTTCACCTATAATGTTATTTGATGTGACTACAAAATGGAGGCCATTAATATACTGTTACATGGCTTTCACTCTTTATTTCCAAGACTGGGAAGATTCTACACTTAATTGTTATGGAAAATATGGTATGTTAACTTATTTCCTACACGTTTTATGAGTTACTATCAATTACAATGTAACATTTAAATAATTTGAAAAATTTTGAAATTTCAAACTTAATGCTTTCCAACTTAGAAAAGGTCTCAAAGTACTGTCATAGTACATTTAAGATATTTAAGAAAAAAAGTGAGAGAAAACAAACCCTGGGCTGCAGAGATAGCTCAGAGGTCTAAGCACCTGCCTAGGCAAGCGCAAGGACCAGGTTCGATCCCTGGCACCATAGGCTGCACTGGCCCTGCCACTGAGACCAGGCATGGTGGCCCACACCTAGCAAGACCCTGTACCAAAATACATAAAATTAAAGAAATCTCAAAACAGGAGCTAAAGATATTACTAAATGGTCTAACACTTGCCAAAATATGCAGAGACCTTTCAAACTCTAAGGCAGTGGTGGCAAATATGGCACATGTACCTCAGTGTACTGTTTTCTACTAGAAGCTCAGTAACTCTTGGCCCACCAAGCAACAAAAATCCTAAACGACAAAAGAGTAAAATAAACCTCAAGAAATACTAAGCCTTTGTAAATGGCTCAATTCCTGCCTTTTCAGAGTATCCTGGAAAGCTAGTTTTTGTTTTGAGACACAGTCTTACCATATAATTCAGCTTGGCACTCAACTCAAGTTGATGATCCAACTGCCTCAGCCTCTGAGGTGCTGGGATTAATGGTATGTGCCACCACACCCAGCTGAAACACTGGTGTGAAAAGCTGAAAATTTTGGATAGTACTAGAGATTAAGTAATATAGCCAGACGCAGGAGATGTAATTTGTAACTATAATCTCAGCCCTCTGTGAAATCCAAGGAAGGACTACTGTGAGTCTGAGCACAGCCTAGGCAACTGAGTAGACCTGAAGAGCCCTTATAAACACACACAAAACAAAGAATGTGCAAGGGCACAAGGCCAGAGGCTAAAGCAGATATCCCAGTATATTCACTTTTCCTAAGGAGGCATACAACTCAGCACAGGAATATAAAAATGTTCTAAACAAGGAACATAGCTCCATAATACAATGTTTTCCTTCCTTCATAGCAGGTGCTATGTTCCCAGTTCCGCAAAACAAAAACAAAAACAAAAAAACCCCGCATAGCAGGTGCTATGATGTATCTTTCAATCTCCAGCACTGGGGGGAAAAAAGGGGAACAAAAACATGGAAGGTGTATCTTAAGAACTTTAAAGAGGTAAGTTTACAACAATACTTATGTGAAACAGAACACATTAAGTGCTAAACCGTTGTTTCAGCATCGGCAATCAGTGTCATGTGACTTCCTAAATAATACTATATATGAGGCAGAAAAGTTACTAAGAGACCATCTTTAACAATTTTGTCATAAGTGAAGTGTGCACAACTATATAAAAATCTTCAGTATTGTGGCAATACCTAAAGGACTTCAGTCCCTTTTCATTAGTAACCACAGCAAATCAAAGGCAAATGGCCATGTGATAAGTCACCCAACATCACTGCAATGCCCAACAGTGTTCTGAGAAAACGTAAGACTAATTAGCATTCAGCCACATTCCTACCTTGTTAACAGGTGATGAGATCTCATCTTCTTGGAGTCGTTTTAGTCCTCTCTTTAAAATGCTGGTGGATGGAGAAGCCAAAGGAGACCAAACACACCGTGACTGCATGCCACTAGGACTCTCATTTGCTGACACAAGTAAAGAATCAAGTTCCCTCAATTTTTCTGGAGATGAATTGTTTTCTGTTACTAGTTCGGAAATAGTTGTTTCAGATGTTAGAGACTGTGGTGGTTCTTCCACTTTATCTGGAGTACAGTTAACCTGCAGTAAAATATCATTTTCCACTACCATTTGATCGTCATCTACATTTGTTTCTTCAGCCTTATGAAGTTCAGTACTTGTTTCACTTTTGCTAGACTCAACCTTTCTTTCCTCAGTGCTCATTTCAACTGTGTCAGGAGCAAAACTGTCAAGTTCTGCATTCAATTGTTCTGTTTTGGTTTCTTCTGACTTAGTCATCTCATCTTCTGCTTCTGTGACAATGCCAATTTCAGTCACAATTTCTTCATAATCTTCCATTTTAGCATTCATCTGCTTAGATGAGGCTGAATCTGGTTCATTACTTCTGTCATCTAATTCCCCACCTGCTATTTGTTCACAATTCTCAATCTGAGATTTCACATTTATAGGGGTGGTGTTATCACAAAGACCAACACCTGCACAAAATGCCTCAGCTGCCACTTCAGCACCTAGTTTATCAGCTGTTTCTGTGCCAGGTTCATCACTACTCTTACATTTCTCTGTTGCCAACTCAGAAGTGTCAGTTTTGAGACACACTTTTTCAGAGACACTAGATTCACAGTTTTCTGCAACCAGTTCCATTGCTTTTACTCCCTCTATTTGGGAGTCTCCAGCTGTTTTACATGCATTCTCTTCAATATTGTCAACATTGAGTTCGCTTTTCAGGGTTGTTTCTGGTTTATCGTCTATACTATCTAAATGATATTTCTCTGAAAGGTCCTTGCAATCACCTAAACATGGGTCCATAGACTTAACCTTTTTACTAGATGGTTCTTCAATTTCATGACATATCAACTCACCAGAATCTGTATCACAAGATTTTCCTTTCAAATTGACTACTTCAGATGAGTTTTGAAAAATATTTCCTTTCAACTCAGTTTCAGGCACAAAGTCATTATGAGTATCATTCCCCTTGAGAACCAAATTAAAATTTATACTTGTATGTTCATCTAAATATTTTACTTCAGAAGATAAATTAGCTTTAGAATCTGTTTCTGATAGTGTGTGAGGTATCTGCACTTCTGTCTTTATTTCACTACTCTTTATTTCAGTATTTTCTGTGTTCTTTAACCCAATGGCTGACTTTTCTGGAGGTTGAGATTTTTCCCCACAGCAGTCACAACCTTTAGATCGTCTTACTCTCCGACTTCTCTTATGCTGGCATTCAAATGTCTGCACATTTTTTTCAGAAAGCATAGGAAGTTCTGGTGTCCCAATTCGAGAGCATTCTCCCACACTGTTGCTATCAGAATCTCGTCTAAGTAATCTCTTACTAGCATTTCTAGTCCTTAAGTTTGACTCTGGCATCGGTGAACTTGCAAAGGAACACTCTGGACTCTTGCTAGCCTTAGTTTTTCCTTCGTATATATTTGGCACATCATCAGAAAGTTGCAATGTGTCTGTATATGCTGTACAATCCTTAAGTATCACAGTATTTTCACCTTTTTCATAAACCTGAGGTTTTTTGTCTACATCCACTTCAGAAATTGCTTTATCATCATCTGTGTGATTCTTGATGCTTACTGATTCCTCTTCTACCATTTTTTCTTCTTGTTCAATATCAACACTGTCATTGTTTTTGTTTTTCAGTTTCCCAGATCTCTTCTTTCTAGAACCTTCTTCTTTCGCCTCAGAACTATCAGACTCTGAGTTTTCAATACTGGACAGCAAACCCTGAGATGCCCTTCTTGTTTGATAACGTGTTCGTCCTCTTAAAGGTTTCTCAGAAGACTTATCTGTAACATCCAGGGTATTATTATCTCCCTCAGAATTAACATTCTCAAGGTCTGATTTTCTTTTATTTTGATCAATGTCAGCATTAGGACTGGTTTCATCAGAAGCCTTCTCAACATTTCCTTTCTCAAGCAAGTTTTCCTGTCCAGTTTGTTCACAAGTCAGTTTCTGCTTAGGTAACACATCATCTTTTACATGCAATAAAGCCTGAGGCTTTTCCTCTTCCTTACGTCTTTCCCTTTTTTGATGACTATTTTCTTTATCTTGGCTATCCCCTATAGAGACTACTATTTCTGAGCGTCGTCTTGAAGACCGTCTCAGGATCTTTTGGTTTGGAGTTACCAGAACCTGACTATCTTCACTTACTGTTTGATCTGCTGGGGTTACTGTTGGTGGTGTATTTTCTTTGGATTCTAAATTAATCCCCATGTTTTTCTCTTGAGCAGTACTGTTATCCAGTAACACAGCATTTTCTAATGTTGGTTTAGGCTTTTTATCTTCATGCTCTGTAAGAGATTCAGAAAAATGAACCTGATCATCTGATGAACATTCTGTCTGATTAAACAAATCAGGTGAGCTATTTTCTAAGGCTATTGTGCTTTCAACCAATTCTTGATTATTTTCCTCCTGCTCAGATTTCATTATGGGTTTAGACCTTTTACTTGCTGACTTCTCAGCTTTACTCAGTCTTCGACTTGATCTCTTAACTCCAGTCAGTTTTTTTTCTGAATCAGATTCTGAATGCATCACTTCTCTCTTCTTCGTTTTTGGTGTATTACCTGCTGTATTCATGTTTTCCTGGTTTTTTGGTTCTGAAACGTTTGATGGCATATTACTCAAAGAGGATGGACTGAAAGGTCTATTATCTGAACTATCAAACTTCTCCAAAGTAATAAAGCTTTGCCTCCGACTTGTAGGCTGTGGAGTTCCAGAAATACTGGCATCAGAAACTGAGCGACTGCTGACCAATGTGTTTTCTGCACTGGATGTACATTCAGTTGAAGTTTTCTTTGATGAAATTAAAGTAGTTTTTTTGGCTTCATTATTACTGCTCAGTATTTCTAGACTGGTTTTGGGAACAAAACCACACTCATTTGAAAAAGAAGCCTTTTTCATATGTTCATCCATACCACAGTTTCCCAAGGCATCTTGAATGACAGTGTCACTCTTCACTTGTTCCTCCTGTACAAAGTAAACATGCATAAAAATATAGATTAACCAAGCAAATATGACCTCTGGAAATTTGAGTGCAGGATTTTGGTACTTCAAAGGACGTTTTAAGTATTTGCAAATATTAAAAAAAAAAAAATAATGGCATGTGTCTACCAGGCTGTTTCTACTTACAAATGTTCAATAAAACCTAAATATGTCTATTTTAAATACACATGATTATTAATTCTTATAAAGTATGATTGGGAATTAGGAGGAGACTTGATATAATTTTAAAACTAACAAAATGAAGACCTATTACAAAATCTTCCAGCAATATAAGACTCCCTTAAGCACCTAAAAAGTGAAATGCTGAATATACCTTAATCACCATCTTGGTATCGTCCTTTGGTTTTTCAGTTAAAGTAGGAGTTTGCCTGAAATAAATAATGGAATAAATTAAAATTACTTTAAGTTACAGAAAAATTACAATAAATTTTAAAGTTTAATGTCTTCAACACTTACATAGATTCTTCCTGACTGTAGTGATCAGTAAATAAGGTATCTTGTGAAACATCCAGATTATTATACATGGCAGGAATATCACACCTGCAAAATTTTACAGAATTTAAAAAATCTGGTAAGCCAGGTATGGTAGCATCTGGCCAAATGCCCAGCATTCTTAGAGGCTAAGACAGGAGAGGTCTTGGCTCTATCTCAAAATAAGAAAACACAAAGGACTGGGGATATGTCACAGTGTAAAGCTCTAGGTTCAATTCAATTTACAATGCTGGGGGACAGTGGCATACACCTATAATCCAATTTCAACTCTAGCTTGGGTAACTTAGCCTAATTCTTAAAGTTTAAATAAAAAGCACTGCAGATGCCAGATATGGGGGCACATGCCCACCATTCTAGCACTTGGGACGACAATGTCAACCGGAGTTTTACACAGCGAGTTCACAGTCAGCTTGAACTATACAGTGAGAGAGAACTCCCCTAAAAAACAAAACTAAGACCAGTCAGCTCTGCAGATTAAAGTAACTGCCTAAGCAGACCCAGAGTTCGATCCCTGGCATGCAGTGCTGGCCCTGCCCCGGGGCACACTGAGAGGGCGACTGACTGGTGTGCACCTGTAATCCCAGTGCTTGGGAGGCTGAACACAGGATCACTATGAGTCCGATCTGTGTAGTGAGACCCCGTACTAAATACATAAAAAAATTTAAGATAAAAGGGATGGGGATGTAGTTCAGTGCAAAGGCCCTGGGTACAAACCACATACTACAATAAATATTCTGCAATTCCATCCTATCATGTTATAAAACAATATAAAATCAAGACCCAGATCATTGTTATCCATTAAATCACATTCCTTTTATACTTAACTAAGCAAATTCAGCTTATGGACAATAGAAATGCTACTAGCTGGGCATGGCAGCACCTGCCTATAATCTCAGCAATCTGGAAGCTGAGGCAGAAGGATCCTTGGAAGTCTTCAATTATAACACATAGTATTATACCATATAGCTCAAGGGTCGTATAACACTTGCCTAGCATATATGAAACTCTAGGTTTGGTACTCAGAGCTCTAAAAGAACGAAGTACTGTACACAGTATCTTAGTCCTGGTAACAAAGTTATAATCTGGGGTATGAAATTTAAGCATAAATATAGAATACCAGGGGCCAGCCAAATAGCTCAGCGGATGCAGGTGCAGGGGCCAGGGATTCGAAGCCCAGGCCTTCCATGCCAGCCCCACCCCATCCCTGGGGTGCACTGAGAGGGCAATTGAGAGACTGGGTATGGTGGTGCACACCTGTAATCCCAGCACTTGGGCGGCTATAAACAGGAATCACTAGGAGTCCAATCTAGTAGTGAGCCCCTGAACCCCCTTATAGACCCTTCCCTGAAATATAAAAACAAAACAAAAAACCCAACAGCGAACTCACAAAAAAATGTCTACCAACCTCTTTGTCTTAAGTACTTCTTTTTGATGTTCAGTTAGTATTTTTTCTTTTGATTCTTTGCCTTCTGGAGGTATGAACACAAAATCAGTAGACTTTTCCTCATCTAAAAGCAGTGTATTCTTTACTTTTGGAGATGAAGATTCTCGTTTCAGCTGCAGATTTTTTAAAAAGTACATTTTAGTTTCTAAATTGTTTCCTAACATTTCCATTAGTTTTGTAATGCAGATAACTTTAACATAACACTTTTTACACATGCTGCACCAGCCCTGCCCCTGCCCCCGGTATGCTGAGCTAGGCCCCGTGTGGTGGTGCATGCCTGTAATCCCAGCACTTGGGAGGCTGAATGCAGGAGGATAACTATGAATGCGACCCTGTACCAAGTAAATAAAACTGAAAAAAAAAAAAAAAAATCACTAACAAAGTGAAGAAAAAACTCAAGAATGGGTAAAAAATTCTGCCAGTGGTTCCTCTCAAGCAATATATAAAGAAATTGAATAAAATTTGAGATCCACAAATTTAAAGGCACAATCCAAAAATGGGCATTGGTGGGGCGGGGGGGGGGGGGGCCTTCCAGTAAGCTCAATTGTTTAAGCGCCTGCTCATGCAAACACAGTCAGGCGCAGGATACCTCAGTTAGATCACCAGCTCCACCTGCCTTACTGGACCCTCCCTTAAGGCAGCCTGAGCCAGCAAAAAAAAAAAAAAAGGAAATCGGAGATGAATATACACTTTTCAGATGAACTACAGAAGCAGATAAATGTATGAAAAGATGTTCAACATCACTGACTATTTGAGAAATGAAAACTGAAACAATGTTCAGATTTTAACTCCACAAATAATGGCTATTATCAAGAAATCAATGAGTAAACAAGCACTGGTGGTGCTGTGTGGAAAAGGAACACTTCACTACTGTTGATGGGAGTACAGGATGGTGCAAACATTCTGGAAATCAGTGTGGAGATTCTACGAACAAGTCACCAGCAGTTCCCTATCCTCCTATAAAATGAAAAGAATCATACCACATGACCCATGTTTACAGTGGCAGTTTATAATAGGACAAATCTTGGAAACAACCCAAAATGTCATCAAAATAAAAAATGAAAAAAGACATGATTTTTTTTAATACAATGGTGAACCACTTTGCCATAAATGATAAACTTGAGACATATCCACATAAATGAGTGGACTTTTTTTTTTTTGGCAGAACCGGGGATTGGACTCAGGCCCCTTGAGCTTGCCAGAGGAGTGCTTATTCTACTGAGCCATCTCCCCAGCCCCAAATGGATGGGCTTTGAGACCACTCTTTAAAGTGAAATAAATTAGACACACATGTGAAAAGAAAAGTATTTACTCTCTAGTGTAAGTACCTGCAAAGTATGATTAAAGATCAAAATGTACAATAAATAATGTGAATTGAAACAGGAAGAAAGGGCGGGGGAGATGGCTCAGTGGAATAAGGCTTCCCTGGCAAGCACAAGGGCCCGAGTTCAATCCCCGATTCCACCAAAAAAAAAAAAAAAGCTTATGAAACAAGAAGAAAATATTCAAAAGGGAAGGGGAACTAGGAACTGGGGGGAGAAATGGAAGAAAGGGTTAAAAAAAAAAAAAAAGACAAGAAAGATAAACTATGCCACTGGTGATGCACACTAATAATCCTAGCACTGAGGAGGCTGAGGTCGGAGAGTTGCTATCAGTTTGAGGCCAGGTTAGGCTACAAAGTGACTTCAAGGCCAGCCTAAACCGTATAGTGAAACCCTCTCTAAAAAAGATGATCAAGCTGGGGAGATAGCTCAGTGGTATAGATGCCTGCCTGACAAGTACAAGGTCCTGAATTTGAGCCCCATTGGAAGGAAAAAAAAAAAAAAGGATGATCAGAAAAGATTAAAATGGAAACAAAGCTTTTGCACAAAGAGGGACTGAAAGGAAAGGAAAAGAATGGGGGAGGAGAACTCAGATAAATGGATTCTCACTGCTACAAATTGCCTATGAATGATTATGTATATCTAAATTGTACCAATAAACTTACCGCACACACGGAAACACCAGAGATCAGCTCAATGGTAAAGTATTTGCCTAACATGTGTGAGGCCCTAGTTTCAAGCCTGGGAGATGTAAGACCAATAAAAACTAGGAAGGAATTAACACAGGAGGCTTTTACATTCCCAGGCTATTACGGTATTCTTTCTAAAACTCTCACTTCCTCACAATTCCATCTTTTGTCAAAATGTTTGCATTCCAAACATCTATCATTAAAGTACGAAGTTTTATGTCCATAAAGTACCATACACTTTACTTTAAAATTCTATTAAGTACACCCCCGAAAACATACTTTGGTAGATGGCTTCGTATTTTTTTTTTCCTTTGTATGTGCCAAAAAAGAATCTCTTTTTCCATTTGATTTTCTTTCCATGCCACTTATCTTCATATTCAATTGGGAATTTTCTGTCTGTTTAATGAAAAATACAACAATTTTATTGAGGATAACCTGATTTCTTTCACATTCTTAAGATATTCTCATTTATGAAGTTTTATCTGACTATTCAAGCCTGTTTAAAAAAAATGAAAAATAGGAGATTCAATTGTTAATTCTACTACACACTTCACATCATTTAACTTGTTAATCTAACCAGTGGAATCATAGATGGTTACTACTACTGGAAGTATTTGCAACGCAAAAATAAAAGCTAAAATTTTCAGCACTGAATAATAAAAGAGGAAAGGTGGACACGGTGGTGAATACCTATAATCCCAGCACTGTGGAGGCAGAGTGGCAGTAGGATCCTTGCAAGTTAGAGAACAGCATGGGTACCATGTGAACTCAAGGCCAGCCTAAACTGCACAGTAGACCTTGTCCTAAAAAGATGGATGGAGGGACAGACGAAGCCAGGTGTGGTGCATATTTGTATCTCCTGCATTTGGGAGACTAGGACAGGAGGATCAAGAGTTGGAGGCCAACCTACGTTACTTAGCAAGAGTGTCACAAACCAACAAAAATAGAACATTATCAAAGCTCAGAGGCAGAATGCTTGTCTGTCTAGTATGTGGTAGGCAATGGGAAGAGGGAGGGAAAGACAGGCAGGCATGCAAGTAAGTATGACATTCAATATTTAAAAAAAAAAGTAGAATATTTGTTGAGAGAAAGAAAGCTTCTGTCCAAGAAAGGGACAGAAGGGGGACCCGAGTGGGTTGCCCTGATATTCAATATTAAACATGTTTTCACAAATGAGTATATGGTATAGAATAAATTATACTGAAACATTACTAACAGTAATTCATCTAATCTGGTGAGATTTTTATTTAGCAAAACAAAACAATTTAGCTATCACTATTTCATTCGTTTTTTAAAACTGATTCTACACCTGTCCTGCTCCAAAAAGGTATAAACCCAGTGTGATTTGGGCACAACTGCAATCTCTGCTACTCAGAAGCCAGAGGTAGAGGCTGAGGCAAGAAGAACACAATGTCAAGGTCTGCCAAGGCAACTTAATGAGACTTGCATTCAAATTAGTAAAAGAGAGGGGGCACAACTCAGTGTAAACTATGAAGGCCTGGGTTTAATTCAAAGCACAACAATGGGTAGGCATAGGCAGGGGCATGGGCTGGTAAATATCTCTTACTGAACAGGAAAAAAAAAATACCTTTTAAGAATATTCCATGGGAGAAAAAAAAAAAAAAAAAAGAATATTCCATGGGCTGGTGAGATGGCTCAGTGGTCTAAAGCACCTACTTAGAACAAGCTTAGCAAAGCACAGGGACCAAGGTTCAATCCCCCAGCACCACATGCCAGCCAGCCCCACCCCCTGGTGGGCTGAGCTGGCCACATACACACACAAAAATAAATAAATAAAATTTACAAAAAAGAATATTCCAACACTTACATGTCTACTCCTCTCAACTAGTAATCTCCAAATAGTAATTGTTAGCCAAAGCAATCCTGGTTCTAATGGATGATTATATGACAGCAAAGATTGTTTTTCTGACAGAAGAAATTAGACGCAAGAAAAATAGAAAATTTCTAGTTTTCCACAAGCAGTAATCAATCTTTGTAGAAGATAAAATATTATGTTCTCATTTCGAGATTACTAACCTGTTTTGAAACACTGCTATTTCTTTATCATTAAAATTAATAAAAAAAGCTTACTTGATAAAATTCTAGTGAAGATTTTCCCTTAATTCAGATACACTATGTGTACACACACACACCATTAAGGAACTCTAGAGTCTATTAATAAAGTGAAAGCATCAATCAAAAATTAACAAACAAAACTTACTGGCTCTGAGCATGATCCACTGGATTCCTCCATTATTTCAACAGTTTCCAAACCAGGCAATAGAAGCAAAACTTTTTGTTTGGCTTCTCTTAGTATTGGTCTTTAAAAAAACAAATAAATACACATGCGTCAAGGGTACTGGTGAGTACTTGTGATGTTAACTAGAGCATTTATTTTAAAGAAGCAAAATGTAACTCACCTAAAGATTACTAATACATACAAAAGTGGAAGAAAACAGACCATATCTGAATTGTCCTCTTTTCAGTTTCTACATTTTCTTTTAAACATTTTTTTTCAAAATACCTGTATATTTTTATCATGCAAAATTTCTAACTGAAATAAAATACATTAAGTACACACACAGCTGTAAGAATCACCGATAACTGCCATTCTTGTCTCTTTTAAGGATAGTTTTAAATTGCTTTCACTGGTTCCTAAGAATCATATTACTTTAAAGCCCCTTTAACTATGTTAATTACCGCAGATTTGAAATAATAGCTTAACTAAAAAATTCTCTGCCAACAACTGGCTGTTAACACTAAAACACCATTATCTTAAAGAACAGATAGTTATTTTCTTAGCTTACTTTAACTCTTCAGGATAAGTCAACATCATCACTTTAGCAAATGTGGCATTCCAGAACTGAGCACTCTGCTTTCGAATCTGTTTATTCTTGTGCAGAAATATTGTGCAAAATAGTGGCGAGAGCTGTTCAAGAAGTTCACTGTCGAAAGTGCCAGCACTGAACTGTAGACAAGTAATAATATCTCCTAGCAGCTTTTCTAACTAGGAAAAAGAAAAGGACAAAAGCAAAAAGTATACTAAACAAATCAAAGTACATATTCCTATTTCAATGTTTACTATATGAATGACTTTATCAGGTATCCATGGTCACAGTAACACACAGCCCTCTCTGTTAAGTTGGCAACTATCAAGTAAATTTATTTTAATTAGTGATATTCCATTATGATTTTGAGTTTATTCTTGGGGAGGCGCCTTCATTACAATAGTAACACTTGTCTGCCTAGCCTAACTTTCAACTTTGTAACTTTGGAATGCCAACCCTCATACACAGAGTCATGAAATAAGATTAATATAATTTCAAAATAACATTATACAATATTTATTTTCAGAAAAACTAGGAATGAGTATGTCATACTATTAAATGCCCATTAAAAATTGTACTATAACTCATTTAAAAATCAAGAGTTATCTTTAAGGAAAGTGAACATCTATCTAAGCCCGTTCTCTCATTATAAAAGCATGTTTTATGGACAATAGTTTATTTTTACCTTGTTGTTCAGAGAGCTATACACTTTAGGAACTTCATCAAGGCTGGAAAGAAAAACACATAAAATGTAACACCATTTGTATCTTAGGAAACTGACATCATACTACCTAACAAACTAAACCTAAATAAAAATTAATACAGCAATAAACAAGATATATATGAAATGTCCAAAAACTTGGAAGCTATACAAAAACAAAAAAAACTCCTTGAAAACAGGCATGAAACAAACCCAGCTTTAGGAAATAAAGCACAGTAAACAAGACACAATGTAAATTAAAGTGGTCATACAATATTATTTTTTGAATGCTTTAAAAGCATAAATTATTCTTGAGACAAATACTAAAATTTGGCAATGTAGTAAGTTCATAGATTTTGTGAATTTATAAACCTTCCTTAAAAGTGTTTCCATCATTTCACAAAAGATGAACTACTATTAACAACTAAACTACACAAGCTTACTAAAAGCAATATTGTGAATTTCTCTCAAAGGGTTGCTTGGGATTTCTGTAGCTTACAGGGCACTACATCACATGTAAAAGTAGGGCCCCGGGAGATAGCTCAGTGGAATAAGTGCTTGCGTGGCAAGCATAAGGTCCTGAGTTCAATCCCTGGTATCACTAAAAAAAGAAGTGGTAACATGTAAAAGTAGTAATCCATACTTCTGGAGATTAATTCTAAAAGTTAGGTGCACATATTTAAAGAATCTTGGTCTAGGGAGATATAAAAGAGCCAGCAAGTAAAAGAGAAGTATACAAATAGGGAAATAGGAGGTCTCATGATACGTAATTCATGTATCAAAATGGTACCATGAATCCCAATAATTTTATGAAATAAATACGTACTTTACTAAACATAAAAAATATATTTAAAACAATAAAAGGAAAATCTTGGGGCTGGGGGGATGGCTCAGTGGAATAAGTGCTTCCCTGGCAAGCGCAAGGACCTGAGAGTTCAATCCCTGAAGGGGGGGGGGGGGGGGTCTTGTTTTTCAGAAATACTGGCCCACACAAGTGCTAACTTTTGTACAAATAAAGGTTCAACTGTTTGTGAAGGAAAATTACTAAACACACAAATCCAGCAATCAAAACTAGGTGGTAAATATAGTGAAACCCCATGCAGACATTTTATACAGTGAGACAATGTCAGTGGTGCTAAATACCATCAAAATACTAAGTGCCTACAATATACTTAATTGCAGAGTAGCATGTCAAATATATATAATCTATTACTTTTTTGTTTTCCCTAAGAAACTATAAAATTTAATGAGCATGCTTACTTGTATAAGCAATTCTAAAAATATACAAAAAACATACATACATGCAATTTCTACCTCAGATTAGCATTTCATCTTTTTTACATGGAATTTCAGGGGGCCTGCCCCTTAGCTCAGTTCTTCAAGTGGCTGCTTCAACAAAGCAGTCAGGCTCAGGTTGCTGTCGTTCATTCCCCATAACTCAAGCCAGCCAATCATGCCTTGAAGGCATTCAGAGAAAAAAAAAAAAAAAAAAAAACCAAAAACCAAAAAACCTACATGGAATTTCATCCACAATAAACCATCAAGATTATTATGCATACCAAAACTGTAGGAAAACATCCTTATTTCAATTATATAAATTCAATTCAAACCAAGTCCAAAATACTTACTTAGAATTTGCATAAAATAATGCCAAGGGTCTTGTTAATATCGCAAATATTTTTCGATTCACAGAAGGTAAAGAAATATGTCCAAGCAGATTGGAAATCATGTTGATGATTGAGTTGCCGATACCAAGCAGAGTATCAGAATGTGCCTCCTTGAAGCTCAAAGTATGGAAGGAAGAGATCACTCTTACAATAAGTTTAAATAAAGAGGCCAATTTTCCTAGGGGTTCTTTCTTCTTTTTGGCCCAATCTGACAATCTCTGTGGTGCTAAGATATAAATCAACTGATTAAAAACTTAAATACTTTGGAAACAGTGTCAATATCTAAATATTTAAAACATTTAAATATGATATATTAAATACACCTGCTTTTGTTAACTGACATCTCAAATCCTAAAGTGACATACCATTAAAACACTACATACATACCAGTAAAACACTACCTTTACAAATGAAAACCAGAAACAATTGAAAAACTACCTGGCTAGAATTTTTTTTTTTTTTAAATGATTGTTTTCCCTGACAGACTATGAATTTTGAAATTTTTCTAATTTTTGACCATTTGAACTACTTAAATACCAAACCATATTAGCACAGGCCCCACAGTTAAATTTGAACTTTTCAAAACTAAAAATTTCAGAGCTGGCCAAATAGCTCAGTGGGTTAAAGAAGGGCCGGGGTTCAATTCCCAGGCATGCCAGGATGGTGCTGGCCCCACCACAAGGGCACACTGAGACAGGAATAAGACTGAGCATGGCGGCACACGCCTGTCATCCCAGCACTTGGGAGGCCGTAAACAGGAGAATCCACTAGTAGTGAGACCCTGAACACCCTGTAGACCCTTCCCTAAAATACAGGAAAAGAAGAAAAAAAAAAAAAAAAAACTGAACTAAAATCTTCTATTAGAAATTACTGTTTCCTGATTCATCTATAGTACATTGAGTCTACATTATATTCAAATCCAAAAAAAAGCAATGAAACATTACCACCTATTTCCTGGGTTCAAAGAAAACAATTTTATAACCACTGACTTTCCTTTATACTCTTCTTTAATCACTTCTCTGTAACATCTAGTCATAGGAATATGCCCTAAGCCTTGTCCAATCCAAAAGTAACTGTTTTCTCTCAAATAAGCTATTCTAAGCTACAAGATTTCAAATTTAAGAAAAAGTCTACATCAGTGCACAGTAATTAAAAATTAAACTCCTGGTGAAAACACTTAAGGGAGGACAACCTTCTACCCTAACATCAACTTCTCAGACATGAAAATACACTGGATATGCTACCAAGAAATTCCCACACAGGACAGTGAGGTTAATGTGACACCCTGTGTGTGAGAAGACTGGTAACACAATAACAGCTAATCGAATTACAGACGGACAGTAATGACAACCCCGGTCTCCTCATTGTTAAAAAGGAGTAGGCAGTAACAAATATAGAAAAAAGAAGTATCCATGTGATATTAGATGGTAACTAAAACTATTCCAAAGAAACAGTTACACTGCCAAGTGTGGTGGCACATACCTGTAATCCCAACACTCAGCAGGCTGAGGCAGGAGGACTGTTGCAAGTATGAGACCAGCCTGGGCTACATAGTAAGTTCAATTTGAACAGGGTTTAAGAAGTCATGGATTTGATATACTCAGACCTAATTTGTCCTAAGTACCAATATGGGTAAAATTATTTAAATAGGTCCAAAGGCACATCAAAAGCTCACAAAATAATGTCTGGTATCTTTCTAAGTTCTGGTATTCATAATTTATTTTCTAACAAAATAAGAGATATCAGATTATGCCCTAAAAGAGCATATCTATGTGCAACTGTTCTATATTCCTTTTTTTTTTTTTTTTTTTTTTTGTGGAATTGGGGATTGAACTCAGGCCCTTGTGCTTGCCAGACAAACACTTATTCTATTGAGCCATCTCCCCAGCCCTCTTTATTCCACTTAGTAATAACCGAAAAGCTCCCCCCAACACACGCACGCACAAAGGTTTCTGAAACTAAAGTATGTTTCAGAAATCATCAGCAACCTATATTTCTAATGGCAAATTTTTTAAATTGAAAAAAATCTTAACATCAAATTACGTTTTTATTAATTTCAACTAGTCACTTTATGAAAGAACACATAAAAACAGGGATATATTTCAAACAATCAATTTTATTACAGTTCACACTACAAACTCAACAACGAAGTATATTTTTTCAAACCAGGTTACTACAATCTCAACAGACCAAACTTAATGAATATGGTAAAAGCTCAAGTTGGGCTGGGGAGACGGCTCAGTGGAATAAGTACTTCCCTGGCAAGCACAGGGGCCTGAGTTCAATCAATCCCCAGTTCCACAAAAAAAAACAAACAAAACCCCTCAAGTTAATTGGCAGGGCAAGGCTGCAGACACTGTAATCACAGCACTCAAGAGTCTGAGGCAGGAATATAAAGAGAATAGCCTAAACTACATAGGGAGTTTCAGGACAGCTTGAACTACATAGCAAGACTGTATCTCAAAAACAAACAAAATACTCAGTTAATTTTTTAAAAAAAATTTCAACATTCCTGTAAAGTCATAACCAATTAGCTTATTTCATGATTTTCTTTTCAATGTTAATATTAATTCAATTATTAAGACAGATTTCCAAATAGGAACATTTCTTGAAAGAATAGAGCGGGCTGGGGAGATAGCTCAGTAAAATAAGCACTTGCCTGGCAAGTGCAGGATCCTGAGTTCAATCCCCAGAACCGCAAAAATAAATAAATAAATAAATAAATAAATAAATAAATTTTTTAAAAAAGAAAAAAAGAAAGAATATATCAAAATTCTTGTTCAAGTCTTCTCTCGTATCAGAAAGAATTAGATCATTTTTTAAAGTTAATCTATATAATTAAGACGTTTTACTCGGTTGTAAAAAGAAACCGGGGGAGGTGTTTTTTTCTGACAATTATTTGGTAGCGCTATACTTATGAAATACTAGATGAAGAAATAAAAGATACTTACATTTAACTTTGGGCTGATATTTATTATTATATGGTGAAAAGTCAATGCAATCAACTATTACTGTAATAATATGGATGATCCTGTCCAAGAACAACAAATTCTAGGGAAGAATAGTAATAATCAGAAACTTTAAACTATGGTCACAGTATTCAAAAATAGTACACAACAAGAAATATAAAAATATTCCCACAAATACTGTGAAACCACATTCAACAGCTTTACTCATATAAATCAAAACTATATGGCCATACTTATTTCCCAGTTGTGACAACTATATAAATTTAAGTTCCTCAACATTAAGGAAAGTTTTTTAATGATGCCCACGGAACTCATCATATGGAATGATCCAAAGTTAGAACGAGGTCTGAAAACAAAATGAGGATTTGGCACAGGTGAAAGATATTTGACAGAATGTCAGCACTGGCACTCAATGTTGGAAATTATAACAGACAAAAGTGAGACCTAGAGCGCAGGCCCAGCGAGTGAGTGAGAGGACCCGGGGCCACCAGATCATGAATAGACCCGGTCTGCAGGCCTGGCGTGTGAGGTGAGACTGCCTGAGACCCACGGATCCCAAATCGACCCAGAGCCTAGGCCCAGCGTGTGAGTGAGAGGACCCGGGCCACAGATCCTGAATAGATCCAGAGCGCACCGTGGCAAGTGAGTGAGACCGCCTGGGGCCCACTGGATCCTCATTTAACCCACAGTGCAGGCCCAGTGTGGAACCCTTCAGCAGAACTCCCTGCAAAGAGGCTAGAGGCAAGATCCACCCAGCTGATTCAGGAGCAGAACAGCTTGCCAGAGTGACACAAAGGATTCAACTCCAACGGCTGCATCAGAAAGAAGTGGAGCACAGCAGCCAGACCCCAGCCTGATCCAAGCAACACCCACCTAGAGGAAACTGAACTTCGTAGATCCAGACCTGGTGCTAAGGTATTAACTCTATCTAAGCTCTACACCAAAGGTCAGAAGACAGTGGTACACAAAATGACAAAGAGAAGGAACAAGATGCAGTCTCAGGCCCCGAGTCCACCCAGTACAAATGCAGAAGACATTAGCATAAAGGAAACTGGAAATCACACACCTGATATCTATGAAGTAATAGTGTTGGAAGTAAAGAAACAACTGCAGAAAGGTGTAGAAGAAATCAGATCAGAAATAATTTCTGAACTAAAAAATTTAGTGATAACTTTAATCAAAGAAGTACTAAGTGCTTCTAAAGAATACACCGCTAAAAAAATAGAATATAAAAATGATGGAACTCCTGAATAAGCAAAAGAAATAGAATGTATGAAACAGATTCAAAGTGATATAAAGGAAATTAAAACCTCAATCACAAGCTGGCAAAACTGTTTGAGTGAAAGTGAAAATAGACTTTCTGACCGTAAAGAAACCATTGCAGCTAGTGAAAAAGAAAAGATCTCTTAAAAACGAGGATACAGGAAAAAATAATTCAATACCTGCAAGATAATGCAAAGATGAACAATGTGAGACTAATATGCATCAATGAGAAGGAAGGAGTCAATACAAATGATACAAAAAGAACATGGGCAGAATAGCAGAAAACTTTCCAAATATGGGGCAACAAGAGGACATTATGGAACTCCAAATAATATCAACCCAATGAAAACCACAACCAGCCAGACATATAATAATCAAGATCCCAGGGGCCAAGGACATGGCTCAGTAGAATAAGCGCTTCCCTCGCAAGTGCAAGGGTCTGAGTTCAATCCCTGGTTCTGCCAAAAAAAAAAAAAAAAAAAAAGATCCCAGAAATTCAGCATAGGAACAGTATAATAAAAGCCGCTAAAGAAAAGAAACATCACATTTAAAGGAAAATCCATCAGAATAACAGCAGATTTCTCTTCACAAACCATCAAGTCAAGAAGAGCATGGAGCAAAGTACTTCAAAGTCTTGCAAGAAAACAAATTCCAACGCAGACTGATATATCCTGCAAAACTCTCTTTCAAATATAATGGAGAAGTGAAATACTTCCATGACAAAGAACAACTAAAGAATTTCATGATGACAAAACCAAGCCTACACAGACTACTAAATGATGTTCTAGAGAGGGAGCCAACTGATCACAGCCCCATGAATGACAATGGAAAGAACCCACCAAATAGGGCAAACAATTAAACACAGGCGAATAAGAGGTATACAATAGTAGTCTTTCAGTTATTCTTTTGTGTTTAGCAGCAAAATATTTCCATCAGCACACTCTACAAATGGACTTCTCTTCCACCCTATATGGGTCATGATTCCATCTGAGTCTATAGGATGGATTTCAAAGAAATAGCTGTAGCTCAGTCCCACAAGTGACGCCTGGCCACCAGTAACTGTCATGTTCATTATGCATGTCCACAACACACTAGAACTTTGTGCGATATCCTATCCTCAAACTGTTAGAAGTGCTGGTCATTTATTTGCCATTCTAGTATTTATCTTATGTTTTATTCTTAGTACTTTGATATCATGAAAACTTTTTCTTAGTTCAATTGTTTTGAAACACTTGATTTTTAATTAATATTTAATTTTCTGCATATTGCTTAATCTTTACTTTTGTTCTAAGATTTATACTACATCTTTGACTTACAATTTATTTAAAAGACATCGTATGGTATCTTCTAGTATTAGAAACTTTTTTTTTAATTTTTTATTTATTTATGTGTGTGCGTGTGTGCGTGCGTGCGTGGCCAGCTCAGCCCACCAGGGGGCGGGGCTGGCTGGCATGTGGTGCTGGGGGATTGAACCACAGTCCCTGTGCTTTGCTTTGCTCAAGCTTGTTCTAAGTAGGTGCTTTAGACCACTGAGCCATCTCACCAGCCCCTAGTATTAGAAACTTTAAAAAGTATATTTCCCTTTTCTGTTGACTTTATATTACCTCTTCCCTCTTTTATATACATACACATATTAAAAAAATACTTGTAAAACCCAACATAAGATTGGTACTGTTTCACAGAAATCTGCAATGACCTTTAAATAAGGGTTCATCTAATATATTTTATATAGTCCTGCATAACTATCATATTGAGAGCTCTTTATTGTTCATCCAGGGGCATACTGTAACTTCTCTTGCCTTTTGAATTATGTTATTTCTTATATGTTACTTCTGGATGTATTAAAATATTTCATTTGTGTAACTAGAAAATCTTACTTTTAGTTTTCAAAGGTATGTTTGCTAAGTATAAAATTTAAAGAGAACAGATCTTTTCTTTCAGCTCTTTAGTCTAGTTTCTTACACTTGGTCCTTTTTTTTCTTTCTAATGTGGAAAAAGATGTTATTTAATTTTGTTCTTCCATAGCTAATATTTTTTAAGTACATGCTTTAATGATTTTTTTCTTTACAAAAAGTTTTGGACAATTTCATTTTTGTGTATCTTAGTTATTTTATTTAAATTTCTTGTGCAAAAAGGTTCATTTTTCTTGGAAATGCGGTATTATAAGTTGAACTAAATTCAGAAGTTTTAAACCTTTAAATATTTATTGCCTACTCCTTTCTACTTTAAGAATTCTAATTATATGAATATAAGTTTCTTGGTTTTGACAGTGAACTTTATGACTGATCTGTAAATTCTTCATTTTTATTTTGGACAATTTTGTTGTTATATTCATTTGTTTGTAAAGAATTTATTTTCAATTTGCAGTCTATTAAAAAAATTAAAATAAAAAAGACAAAAGCTACTAAATGGTGTAAAATATATAAAGGCTGAAATGCAAGTAAAATGTTCCACAGGCACAAGCAGCCATATTAAAAATGTTTTTAGACTCACTGTTCCCCAGGCCCTGCCCAAGAGGCTGGAATTCAAGTGGTGTGAGTCCAAGATGCAGCCTGCCTTTGAAGGCGGGTGGGCGGGATTCCTGGTCCCGCAGGAGGAAGGGACCATCCTTGGCTCCTGAGCAGCCATCACAGCAGCACTGTGGAAGACAGAAAAATCTGGCCGCAAACAGTGCAGCCCTCGGAATAATCTAGAGGAGAAGGCAAATCGATCTGTGCTTCATTTAAAAATAAGACCTAGAGGTTCCTTAAGTTTGGCGAAAAATCGTATTCCTAAATGACAAGAGCACTTTTGAAGAAGCACGTCCATATTGTTTCCAGTTGTTGGTACTAGATAACTCTGGAGTGAGCCTCAAACCCAAGGCCAAATTGACACCCAGAGTACAGAAACTTCTTAATCGTGAAGCTAGAAATCATACTCTCAGTTTTAAAGAAGCAAAAATTGTGAAGAAGTACAGAGACTCCCAAAAATGTATTGTTGATTTCTTGGAAAACTTGCAACAGAACAGTTAAATATCTTGGTAAAAGCCGAAGCTTTCTGCCAGCACTGAAGAACATTCCTCACTCTTATAAGTAAACTCAGCCTGAAGATACCAGAAAAGAAGACTTCAAATTCCATAAATGTAAATCATGGTATATCTGGCTCTAAAGGCAAGAGCCCGGCATTGATTTTCAGAACACGCACATCTGGCCAGTCAACACCCATTTGCTCCTCAAAGAGTGGGAAGAAAAGAAGGAAGTACTTCTCACAGCTGAAAATGTTGCTTAGTCAGAGTGAATCCCAAAAGGATTCAAAGGTGGACTTTAGAAATTTCCTATCTTCACTGTGAAGTTGGACTTTGAAAATAAGACTATTGTAATTTCTTTTTTTTTCCTTAGTGGTCCTGGGGGTTGATCCCAGGGCCTCACACAAGCATTCTACAGCCTGAGCTAAACCCATAGCCCCTGTCTACCATAATTTGTAAAACTATAGTTAGTAAAGCAATTTTTAAAGTTTTTTTTTAAATGTTTTTATTATATGACACTTCAGTAGCTGAAATGAAAGCATTCATAGGTTGCTTTATTTAGCAAGGATTTTTTATTGATTGCAAGAATATGAAAGACATTAAAAAGCAACTGGGTCAAAATATGGCATAAAATGTTATAACCTTGTAGATTCAAAGAGGTACTATGGTTGCAATTTAGACATTTATCCTGAACTCAACCATCAGATTGTTATTCCTATAGTAATAAACCATACGATGTTGTTAAAAAAAAGTTGATCCGTCTCCCAAACTAATCAGAATGTGACTATCAACAACTCGTTTACCAGCTTTCAACT